ACGATATTTTGTAACAGTTTTATTTGCTCGATCATTTATTCGATCGGTGCAGAATTGAAAAAAAGGCTATAGCATTAAATCTCTTATAGCGTTTAAAACCTTTAATCGAGATTGGATAAGTCGGTTTATAGCCATCGAAAAAGTAATTTCGATAAATCCTACTTTAAAGTATAGTAGCAATCAATGAATATTTCTCAAATACGTTTCAGCGGGTTGGTGTGAAAAACATTTTAACGTAAGAAAAATACTTCAAGAAAATTTCGAATAAAATAATTTTCTGAATTCAAACAGATATTTAATTCTTAATTTTTATAATTCTTATTTGAAACAAATTGATTAGAGAGAGAGAGAGAGAGAAGAAAAAAAAGAATGAAATACTATTATCTTAGATGAGAAAATAATGATAATGGAAAATGGGATGTACTGTGTTAAAATACGACAGGAAGACCAGGAAATGCTAAAACGAAATAGGGTAATTGAATGATCCTACTGAAATATTCAAGTGTTGAAGTACTCTGCTAAACGTATTCGTGTTAAATGTAATGAAGATTCTAGATGAAAATGCGAAGAAGGTGCAAATTCGGAGGGAAATGTGGATAAATTAAAAGGAATTTTTTTTTCAACGAATATGATTAAAAATTTTTTAGAAAAACAACATGTATTTCGAACGAATTCGAATAATAATGTTCATAAATATATTTTCGTAGAGGGAATACCGTATATACTTGAAAATTTAAAAAATTTTTGTTCTGAAACAATGTCTTTTTTTTCCGCTCATGATTCTTAGTATTGTGAAAGTAGAATTTAATTAAAAAAATTTTCGCGTATCTGCATATTTATAATTTTATTAAATTAGGGGAAAAAAGTAATAACAAGCATGAAAGAAGGTCAAGATAATTTTTATTTAATAAATTTATAATGCTTATAATTTAATTTTACAAACAATAAACTATAATACGAGCTGTTTCACTATGTTACATATTCTGTTGAATTATACAATTCCATACTATTCTGTTATATATTCTAATATGAATTATTTAAAAAACATTGAAAGAAATGTGAAACAGCATATCGGAATTTCTAGAAATATTTATTAAAATACAAGCTGCAAAAATGCAAAAATATAATATTATTGAAGATGTTTTCCCAAGTTGAGAATTCAATCGATGCCACATAAATCATTCTTCAGACATTTTCATCCCCATCTCATCCTCACCTGATCGACTATTTGATCAGTTATTGTTTGGATCCTCGGCGAAAGTTTTTCATATCTCGATGAATCTTTCAAACTCGTTTGCAACGAATTAATCCATTTTAATTTTCTCGAAAGCCAAACGGGCGTGGATTTCAGTGAATCAAAATAGTTCCACAGACCATAGATCGTCGGTGGCAGCCAACTTATTACCTGGAAGAGTTTAAACTTCCAATTAATTGGTAATCAAAGGATCGTACGAAGTAAGACAGCCACGAACGAAGTTTCGTGCCGGCCCGCCCGATGATTCCCCGATGGAAAATTATTAAGCTCTAACCGATATTGTTCCTAGGGATGGGTGGGCGCATGCATCGACTCGAATAATTAATCGCAATCTCGGTGGAAATTTTTCTTAATAAGTTGATCTACATTATTTTCAAGGGATCATTATTGAGAACATGTTTGCAATTAATTTTTAGTAACACTTTCTTTTTTTAAAAAAAGATTAAAAATCGAAGAATTATAATATAAACGATTGTTCTCGAGCCTTTTTATCAAGTTCCATATTTCATTTTCATAGTATTAATTAATTTTTCGTAGATATTAATTTAATAAATAAAGTTTAAACAAATATTTTCATTATTTATGATTATACAAAAGGAAAATCTATAGGATAAAATTACACTATTTTAAGAGATACACAAAAGATACAAGTAGTAAAACCATACCAATGCCGAGGCAGCGACTCCCCTCTAGTAATTTAGTAATATAGATAAGTCAGATTAGTAACTGTGGTCGCAGAATTGGTACAAAACTCTTTACAAAATTCTACAGAATTGTCTCATTTCTCTAATATAATTTTAATACTATTCATAAATTAAACGTATTTTAATATTTTATATGATATCATTAAAAACAAAAAAAAGAAGAAGAAGCGTACATTAAAAAACTTTCATTTCAAAATTAATTCTCTTGATCTTAAACAACTGCTCGCGAGAAATAAAATTTTAATAACAAAAAAAAAAAAAAGGAAGGCCGTCATATATTTTACATTATCAACACGAGCATAGTACAACACCATAGACACAGTTACTTCTCGTGGAAAATTAATGAAATCCAGCTAATTGAACGAAGCCATCTTTTCACAAGCGAGAGTATCGATCCAACGCAATATTCAAATAAAAAAAAAAAAAAAGAAGAAGACCGATGCTTAATTGACTGTAATCGATACATACACGGATGTTGAAACACGCTTTCTCCTCTGATGATGGAGATATCAGGACGATCGACTGTCCACGCGATTAATTAAACAGGGCTAATTGGAAGTTGCACTTCACGAGCAGTCTCGGGGAATCGTTCGACCATTAAACAAAGTTCCTGGGAATTTAGAGATGTAGATGGACGTGAAGTGCGATCTTAAGTAACTGCTCTTGCCAGCTTGAAATCTTGAAGGAAAGCCTTTAAACTTTAAAACCAGCTTTTCAGCTTCTCACTCTTTGTTGCGCAACGAGATCATCGTTCTTTGCTGCTTTGTTTGCTACATGTATCGTGCTACTTATATTCAGAAAGTTGCTGGAAGATATTAAGCAGATTGCTCCGAGTTTCAAATTTTTATATTATAATATTGTCACGAGAAGTTTTATCAAAACATCTTGACACAATTACACGCATAACGTACGTGTATATAAATCTAGTTCTCGCGATTGATTTTAAATGTATAAAATTATTATTATTAATTCTCGATGACTTGTCAATATGTAAATTAAATATTAATTTGTAAACAATAATTATTGAAATTTAATTAATACTAACAAGCTACTATTGCTAATATTTTGATTAATATAATTTATGAAATAGTATCGTTACTTTTTATGCAATATCTCATTCCTGGATTAAATCTTTCGATCAATTTTAAAATACGTACAAATTTTATTCTTTTGTTAAATTCTATCTTATCGAACAAATCTTTGATAAACTACATATCTATCGATCTAAACACGTCCATATATTCAATCGCGAAATGGCCAGTCATAAATCTCTCTTCCCCGTGCAAAACCATTCCGTAAAATCATCCTTCACCCCTTCATCCCGACGAATTTCAAATCTCTCACACCCGCAATTTCATTCGCGCAAATTGTTCCCTTTTAAAACCCGTGTGTGTGGAATGGATCGAAAGAAAAATCTCACCCTTTGCATTCGTAATTAACTCTCTTATCAGTGACAATTCCCCCTCCCCCCCTCCCCTCCCTCCCTCCCTCCTCTCTCTCTCTCTTTGACATCCTAACCCCCGACCTATCAAATTGCCTTACGATTCAACCGGTTGACGAATAATACTCGAACACGAAGGTCCAACCAACATAATGCTCTCTTTCCGCATGCAAGTCATTGGTCAAACACGACGCTCGTCTCTCACGCGAATATTCTCGATTATCTCGCGTGAGGGAGGAGGAACGAAGATGGTTTAATAGGAGATCGAAGGAAGGTAGCTCGCGGGTCGAAATGCAAATACGTTTGGCGCGTAATTGCAATCTACATGTTTATAAACCTCTTTTGCATGTGATGTGCCTGCTTTTTATTCTATCCCCCCCGGTCGTTTCGAGACTCGTTCCAGCCCTTGTTACCCGGATCGTGACGTCAGCACACTCGCTCGGCTTCGCGATAATTAAGCCTAAATTTAAACCGAAGCGACAATAATTGAGGGCATAATCGGGCGAAAAAAAAAAAAAAACAAGCAACGAGGAGGAAGCGTTTCTTTCTCGTCGTGTTTTTCGAGGTTTTCGTTTTCTGACACGAGGATGGACGATTTTTTCTTGAGGAAGAATTTGATATCTTGAATAAAAGTTCGGTTTGCGATTGGAAAAGATTCGAAATGGTGGATGTTGAAAAGAAAAATTGAAATTTATCGTCGAGTATTCGATATTGTGTTTGAGAAAGAGCATGAAAGAAAGGATTGTATTATAAAAATTTGCAATTGAACAGAACAAAGTAATATTAATTCGTATTAATTTTAGATTATTTTAAAGTGTATTTCATATTTTTTGGTATAAATTTCGTTCATGTTCACGGTTGCGTGAAAATTTCCACGTATTATATTTTTAAATTGAATATGGAACAGTCTTTTAAGGAAAATTGCAATTTTCCAGCTTAAAGAGAACTTAAATTTCGTATAAAGGATAGAATATTTAAAAAGAAATAAATGTTTTCTACTTTGAAGAAGTTAGAAACTGTGTTTAAAAAGCGAAATAAGGATATTTTGAGCGTTTTAACGGTAAAAAAGATGCCAAGTATACCGTGAAATGTTTGTTAAATATACGCGATACTCGTGAAATTTTGAAACTTTGGGTGAAAAGGGAACGCGAAAATTCAGTAGTACGACAAATGATATCTCTGACGATATAACGTTGAATTTCACGTTTCTTTGTTTAATATCTCATTGATATATAAATTCATAAAAATTGTTAAATTTAACAATTCGTAACAAGAAAGAAGTATTGTTACAATTATACAATTCAAATGTTCTTGTTTTAGATAAAATGAAAAGATAATTTTATAAATAGTTTCGACTTAAGATTACCATACTGTATTTTATAAATATCTTCAATCGATCGATAAAGATCAATATATAGATTATTATTAGATTTGAAATTGAAAATACACTCATCGTCCAAATATTTGCAACAACTTTAACACGTTTATGAGATAAACGTTTGACACATTGACAAACACCGACTGACAATATTGTCTCAATAAACTCTGTCCTATTTGCAATAACAAATCTACACGTCGACGTTGCAATCTATTGTTTCAGGCGAAGGACGCCATGAACGAGCTCGAGGGTATCGATCTCACGGATCCCGATCTGCACAAGGCGGCGACGAAAATCCAAGCGAGCTTCCGGGGTCACAAGGTCCGCCAGGAAGTGTTAGGGAATCCAGCGCAGAACGAGCCCAAGAAATAAGAAGGATGAGATTGGAGTGCTGATTTTTTTCGAAATCGAATCGTCGATAGTATGCCCGATCATGAAACTCAAAAAAAAAAAAAAAAAGAAAAAAAGTAAAAGAATAAAAAAAGAAGAGACAACAAAAAAGAAGAGAGAGAGAGAACGAAAAAACACACACAAAGGAGGAAAGTAAATCGAACGATAGAAACAATATAGCAGGGAATCGGGCCTTCTCTCGGGTCTTTGCTTTTCCATTTGTCGCCGAGTCCGCTTCGTACGATCGCACGCCAACCCTTTCGTTGATCCCTCGAAATTTTATGGCAATTTTTATCTTTGTATCCGCGACACGATTATTCGGGAATCGAATACGTTTCTCGCCGCCGATTTGTTTGAATATCGAGCTTACAGGTTCGCATAAACTTTCGAACACCGATAATCCTCATGGAACAATTTTCGATCCGTATCGTACTTACTTACGTATTCTTCGTCCTTTCGAAACTACTATAGTATTACGAAAGATATGGATAGTATCTATTCTGAATAAACAAAATGAAACTTCGAATTTATATCTTGATAATTCATATTACGGTACCAATTCACGTTGAAGTGGCACAGTATATTTTAGATTAGTATATATATATATATATATACATATATGCTTATAATACGTTTTAAGATTATATACGCGCACACAATCGTGTGAGCGTGGTTTTAATCATTATCCTATATCTCGACGTTCTCGAATAGGCATTTCATCGATGTATGGAACGAATCCTGTTATATTTCGCGAATAATAAATTGGAAAATTTAACGAGACGATAACAAGATCACGTTGCTTGCCACGAAACTCAACGAATCATGAAATGAACTATCGTCGAATTGAATCGCGGTCAAGTATGAATTCGAAGAATGCTGTTACTCGAAGAAGGTTGTCTCGAGTTTCGTCCAATCATCAATGGAAACGGAACGAGCTGGACGAATTAATTGGCTGGAAGGTCTTTCGTAAATTCGTAAAAGAACCGCGGTTGGCGCGTTTCCTCGTGCAGATCCGATTATTCGAGTCGATTTAATCGCTTGTCCATGTATACTCGAAAGTTTTCGTTTAATCAGCCGCCAAACTCGTATTCGTGCGTTCGAAATGAACGCACGATCGATAAATTCCCTCGTTCATACGTTAACACGAAATTTATCGTGGTGGTTGACAATGCTCAGCAAGGATTGTTTGCGATCGTGAGCCCCGATATATCGAAAATTGATTAAAAATTTCGATGGCACGATGTTACCACGGGTGTGCCATCGCCGTGTTCTGCTCCTCCCTTCGTATAATTTTAACCGTACGAACCGTCGTCGAGACTCGACGATTCGGCCATTCGTATCGAATCGTCCGTGGATTTCGTGCGAAGATTCGCGAACGAGAACAGTGAAAAATTACAACAGCATCGAATAAATTTCAAAATATCAAACGAATTCTCGGCACGGAGAGGATAGGGTGCAAAGCATGTACTTGTGAATGAATTGATTCGAGGAAATGATAGCAGTTGCAATCTTTGATAATCACTCGAGAGTCGATCTTATTTCTTTCCTTTTCGAGGTAATGTCACATGCAACTTATCGTTCACACATCGATAAGTTCGCCGCGATATAATTAACTAGTCGATTGAATTCGTCGTTTTTATTCTAACATCATGTTTAATGTAAGTCCAATTCAAATAATAACGAGGTATATGCACGTAATGATAACGCGTACGATATGATTACAAAAAATCAATGGAGGATCGATTGGTCGAAAAAAAAAAAGGAAATTATAACCGGCAAGACGGCGCATGTCTGAGGCAAACAACATGTTTAATCGATAAACGTGTCGTCGAAGTTATATCGTTTTAACTTTTAAGGATATGTCCATCCCGTCATATTGGTACTGCGAGTTATTTTTCGATGATTAGAGGCATATATTTTTACGCGTTAGATCCGCACCGTAACGACACACGATTATGGATACATATATAAAACATAAGACGCGCATTTATACACATATGTAGGCAGGCACAGATGCTTTCACAACCCCGTAGACGCAATAATTCGACATAAAAAGAGGCTTCGAACGGCCCGGTCGAACTGCCATGTAATGGGTGCGCGTTTCGTATCGTATTCTATTTTTATCTAGTCCATCTTCCTTCGGTTTTGTCGAATTTACCAGTAGAAGAAGTATACGTTGTTTTTAGCAGGCCTAAAAACGTTACCGCTGCTTTTTACGATCGTTAAGAGCACTCGTTCTTCTCCTTTATTTCGCTCCTCTTTTGCGCTGTTCTCTGGAACATCCTGATTCTTTTTTATCCTGAATGATTGACTATCGATCGTTGAAAAAGGGCATAAAGAATTAAAGTTTGGTAATATACGTGGTAATTTATTCGATGAAAATTATTTTTTATTCCTTCGAGGAAAGGGATGAAAGATATATGTATTATAATTAGACGCACCATTCGAAATAATTAAAAGACTCTGTGTTTAACTGTTTGTACCCAATATATTTTATAAATTCCCTTTAAATAAGACATAAGTATTATATCGAAAATGCTAAGTTTCCCCTATATTTAATATTAATGTTCGATTTATTTTTATCAACGATTAGAAATTTTTGAACTATTTTGAACAGAACACCTGATTAATTAGCTACAAAATAAACTTATCGCGTTATAATGTTATTATTGTATATTATACATCGTTTCGTCCTATAAAGCACGACGTTCATTGTGTCAAAAAATTTATAAAATATTTGTCAAAAGATTTTACTTTAGAATAATTTTATTCAGATGTTACATCGTATTATTTAAATTATATAAATTTGACCAGCTGATTTCTTTCATTTCATGCGAATATCCAAGAATGAAATGAAGAAAATTCTTTTAAAAAACTATCGATTTCTTTAAATATAATATACTCTTGAATATTAAATGTGCAAACCTGTTATGGTCTTATCAGTCTCGTTAACGACCTAATTGTTGATATTAATTGCTGTTTATTTCTTCTGTAAATATTTTCAATGTGCATCACCGATTCCTGTTATGCATTGTCACGTACCGCAATGTTTCTATCGTACATCACGCAAAACATGATTGTATGTACTTTCTATTTGTACGAAAGACAATTATTATATGCACATACATAATATATCTTTGGAAATATATCACATAAATTTTTGCACTTGTTTCTGATAACTCTTATATTGAAATAACTTTGTGAAAAATTTATCAAAAAGTTGTTATAATAAACAAATTTTGAAAGCATTTTCGAATTAAAGTTTAAATGCGGTTCAGAAAATTGAAAATCCGCAAAGAGCTCGATTCTGTACAGTATTCTCATATTAAAATACACATTATGAAGAAAATTTGAATATTATGCAATATATCATACAATTATTACATCAGTAAAACTTTATGTTGAGAGGTGAATCTCTTAAATCTCTCTTTATTATAACTGAAACTCATCAATCATATATTTTCCAATTAAAACAATATGAAATCAATCTATAAATAGTAGATATTAAAGAACTTTTGCACTTGTCATTGTGCATATAAAAGATATTTTTCAATTTCTTACAATTTCATACATTTTCACTTATCTCTCAATCTGATAAACAATGGAAAAAAAAAAGTATTGCAAGCTTGAATCACGCTTTTCGAATTTTTCGCGTGTAATTAAACGTTTTTAACATCATTCATGCTTTATCGGTTCCAATTTTCTTGCATTTTCACGTTACCTCATAAGATCATTTGTAGAAAGCTAATGAAAATATTGCTATCGTTGAAAATGTCTATGAAACTCGACATATGATAAATGAATCGAACATTCAAATATTCAGATTTATCTCTAATCGTGAAAAACCAAGAAAAAAATATTTGATAATGATTGAAAGCCGATTCACACTGCGACACGTCGAGTCTCGGCAAATACACGCTAAAATACATCTATATAGAGAAGGATCTAATATATTGAATCTATTTATAATATTATATTCCTGTTATAATAATATTTGTATGCTACAATAAGAGGCTCCTATATGAATATTATTATAATTCACATTCTATACATATACATATATTAATACTATTAATATATTATATTTATATTATATATTATATGTGTATAATAATATTAATATATTGTCAAATATATAATATATTTATGATCCATCAACGACACGATACGACAACTGCATTTTACTATTGCCGCCTAGTGGGGATCGGCTTTATATTTTCGCAAAAGAATTATTTTTCTTTTGCATAAGAACTTACTTTTTTTAATATTTCAATCAAAGATATAAATATCACGAATACTTTTTATAAATCGAAAATGAATAGTGCAAAATTGAAATCGGGCATTCTACAGTGTTGTGTATTCAATAAAAAAATTATATATTTCCAAGAGAATTATCCTTGGAAGCAAATACATGGAAGTAAATGACAGATGATTTTATTTGCTCTAAGCAAAATTGTTGTGTAAAAGGATTCGTACTATCGAAGAACCGATTTAAAATATTTAAATATTTTGAAGCTTCTGTAGTTGCTGGGAGTGTCTATCGATGCGTATGGTTAGCGATTACGAGGTTAAGAATTAATGGAGAAGTTTGTTGTAATAAATTATAGGCATTTTCTTCGGTATGTGACGTTACCACACAGATATAGATTAGTAACGCACAAAATGTTACAGTAAATTGTATTCTAAGGATGTAACAAATAATTGTAATGTTTAAACGAGCAGTAACCGTATATGTAACCTGTTTGTTTAAAATAAATACCCATTAAGTGTACAAATAACAATTCCGACCTATACTGTGAAGAATTAATAGAAATACACCTCTAATTAAAATAATTACTTTGGACTAATTTTTTTATTCTTTGTTAATTATATATATATCCATGCCATATATATATAATATTTATAACAAATAGACTATAGATAAATTATACATGCAAAATGCGATTAAATATATAATAATTTTTTTTAAATATAAAATTTAATAAAGATGGTGTTCCTTTGATTACTTTCATATATGGCAGATGTCACTCCTATCGCTATAAAGTCAATCATCAGTTAACATTTATTTCGTGCATGTGCCTCTAAATATTAAATTATTCTACGTTGTTATTGTATAATATTTGAAATTTTGTGCTAAATTGAAAAAGAAGTTTTTTATTTGAGTTTTTTGAAGTTTAATTCATAATGGGTAGAAGATATTATTGCGAATATTGTGACAGATCGTTTAAGGATGATCCAGAAGCCAGAAAAAAACATCTTTCAAGTTTGCAACATGCGAAAAATCGTGCAGATCATTATAATATGTTCAAAGGTAATCATATTCATTAATTTTTTATTAATAAAATATATTGAAGATTTGATGAAATGTATATCAATGTACATTTCATCAAATGCATTGATCATAACCTCAACATCATTTATTTTAATATTACTAATATAAATTTTATTATTTTTTAGATCCAGAAGTTATTTTAAGGGAGGAATCTACAAAGATACCATGTAAATGGTATTTAACTAATGGTGAATGTGCATTTGGCCTCGGTTGCAGATATTCCCATTATACTCCTCCTATGATATGGGAGCTTCAACGTCTTGGTATTCATAATAATTTAAGATAAATGTAAAATGAATATTACATAATATTTTTATATAATTTTTTTCTTTTTAGTTGCTATGAAAAATCAATCAAAGTTGAATATAAATCTTGAAAATGGCTGGCCAAATCCTGACGATATAATTAAAGAATATTTTGAAAATAATACGAACACAAGCACTACAGATGATTTTACATATCCTAATTGGCATAGACCATTAGAACTACGTGATTATTCCATGCTATCACCGTCACTATGGCCTATCACACCTGAAAGTTTAGCAAATACTATGAGATTTGAAGAATGGGGTTAAAAATGTAAGGAATATAACGTTCCTCGTTAAATTAAATGAAAACACATATACTCAATTAAAACTCATCCAAAAGAGTAAATAATATATAATATATAAGCAAATTAAATATATAGTTTTTCAAACAACTGAATATTTTGTTAATAAATGAACATATAAAATTGGGAAATGTGTTCAATGTGTTTTTTTAAATATAAATATAAAATATTATTGATAATATTATATTTATAATAATATTATTTATTCGATAATTAAAATAAAAATTAGCAAGAAAAACAAATAGGTTTTTTTTTTTTGATTAAACAGATGCACCATCTTACGAGGCAAGAATGAATCAGACTCGGTGCTGTTCGGTATTTGTCGGTAACTTCCGTGACTACCATCTGTCCTCCATCATCCCCTCCACCAATCGCCGATCAGAAAGGCGAGCACACAATGAACTCCGCTACACCGTCACACAGTAGCGAAGCACCCGTTGCCACGATAGTTTGGCGTTTCTACGTCGTGTTCGGCGCGCCGCCGTGTCGTTTCAATTTAAAATCGAATTTAGTGTATGTTTGCGAGTCGAGAACTGTGTTACGATTATGAGATTGACTCGATTGCGTGACTCGTGTGAATTTTCGTTGGTGTGCCAATCAGAAAGTGTTTGAAACTTCTCAGTGCCTCGGCACGGCGGGACGCCGGCCTTCGATCAGCCGACTGGATTTTCGATCGCCACTTCGGATCATCTCAATCGCACCGGTGAGTCTACATGAATATATTTTTTTCAATATGCATGTTAAATCGTCAATTCGTTAAATCTCGTTACTGCTATTTCATAAAAGATATAATAGAATTAAGTTTAAACGAAGCACGTGATTCAATTGAGAGCTAAAACGTTCAGCTATAAGAAAAGATTGTCGTTATTTCTCGCGACCATAAATAGAGATAGAGATAGTACGAGGAAAGTATTCAGGTATACAAAAAACATAACAGGAAGAAATTTCGAACATCTGTGCCTGCGGAAAATATTTAGATTAGCGAAAGTGTAAAATTGTAAACAGAGACCAAAACTGATTTGACAAGATGATGCGTCATTCAAATAGTATACATATAGTTCCATGATTACTGTTTCTCTTCGTATTTTCTCTTGGTTATAGAATTTAAAGATAAAACGAAAAATTTAAATACAATAAATTTCGATTAGTTTGCGCAATCGGAACGATTTTATTGTCTCTAACAATATATCATTTTCTTCGGATGAGATATGGTTTTTCTCTTTTTTTCTTTTTTCATATTATAAGATTATTATTCACTTTTTGTTGTGAGAACGTATGAGTTTTAAATTCTATAACCGTATGCATAAAAATATCATTTCGCTTCGCATAAAAGAGAGCTCTGAATTAATTCTCCAACGTGAATCGTGTGAATTTATGCATGTGATATTTGCGTTCTATTATATATTGATAACTAAGAAAGTTATTTAACCAGTAGCTTATTATTTATGAATTGCTACATAATTATTGATTATTTTTATAATTATAGTTGTAAGTATTGAATTACGACATTATTACAGTTCATCAGGTGGCAGCCAAATTAAAGGAGTCGCCATTACAGTAATTGCTTAAGAGATAATATTTATTTCATGATCATGGTGATACCACGTTTTCTCATTTAAACGGTTTGAGACTCGATATTCATGCGTTATTATAGCAAGGGAAATCGGTTCTTACGTATGATGATACCCTTTGATAATGTATGCATTATCATGCGTATGATAACATATTGATATTGAATATCAAATTGATTTAACCCAAACATTATTCTTGTTAATATAAATATAAAATAATTTATATTTTCTACTTCTATTATTGCAGGAAAAAAAAAACATGTAACTCTCCTCGCATTCGATAATATCAAATATTTAATATTATAATAATTGAATAATAATCGAAAAGATAAACGTTTAATAATTGGACGTAATGTGTGCATGAACTTGAACGATACCGAGAAAATGATTCAAACGTAGTATACGGATACGGATTCACAGACATTACATCACTGATATCGTTTCCGCCATAACGTCCACGGAGTCTCGTTGTTGCAAAAAGGTTAAATGTAGTGTGACGACCGGGTGGCAACGACCTGCCCGCCATAGACGAGAGAATGGAGTTACGTGTAGTCGCGTCACGATTCTTACCGGAGGTCGTGACCTTGTCGATATGGGGAATAATGCGTTTGCCTGCACGAGGGCAGGATCTTCCCTGTGAGTCAGTTTCCCGATCGATTTCACGCGTGCATCAGCGTCCATTGTCGCGTTCCGTGCGTAGCACACAATGGACTTGTCTATTTTGGAGCAGCTGCGCGGCCCTCTTTCGAACAATGCGGCCCAGAGAGAGAGAGAGTAGCGTGTATATTCAGAACCGGCCGTTTTTCGATCTTACTTTTCGTAGAATCACGACTACTGGACATTTTAATCGGCTATTGCGATCGATATTTCTGACATTAGAGTGATTTGCAATTACATTTTTAACGATCTTACCAAGAAAGATATAAGCGATGAAATTTTTTATTTCAGAAAATTTTATGCGCTTACGAATATTAGAACTCTATTCATAAAGGCTTAGAAATGGACAGTATATATTACGTCGTTAATTCGAGAGTTAGATGGGGTAATATATAGTATAGTCAAATATAATGAAATAAATTCGAATAAATTTCAAATGAATTGATGTACAGTTTTTAAAGAATAGTACATAAAATCTAGAGATCGGATCATCGTTCGGATATTTCGTTTAAAAGTTTGCCAAATATCTGAAATATTAAACATTCCATCGGAACAAAGATTAATCTCGTAAAAACAATCTTCAGATCGAAACGATCTTAAATCGAAGTTAATTTCTTGCATGACGTCTACCGTAGAACTAATTCCCCTTCGACACACGTTGTAGTATATCTAATCGACGACTAATCTTCACAAGGACAATACGCACATCCGATTCTAAACGATCGATAACTTCGTATAGAGAAGTCTCGATCTGTCGGTAGATTTAATACGACGCAGAAGCATTTCGTTCGTCTGCGCCACGAGTACGATCTGTAAAAACGAGCCACCCAGCAATTTAACGTCATTTATTTCTATTGCCTTTATGTGGGCCTATTATGTCACGCGATTTCTCCCCGCCCTTTATCGCGTGGCAACTTGTACAATTCGCGCATATATACCCGCCTTTGGTAAGAGTCAATTGCGAGGTAATTTTTCAAATTGCCAAACATTGGAGAATCGATGAACACTCCACAAGCACCGACTCGTTTTACACTCCGTAATCGATGCATTGTTGTTTTCGATCCATTGAAAAGATCGATACGCGTGATATCGTGATTGATAAACAACGACATTCATAGAATTATTTTTTTTCCATAGGCGCTTGAGACGAAGAATTTTTTGATCGGTATTCATGGATAGTTCGCGATACATTCGTGAAATTCCATTTTATCGGAGCGAAATTTTAGTTCGTGTTCGCGTTTGATCGACCTATTTGAAAACAGTGACGCATCGTGTGCAGATCTCGTTCAATCTAAATAAAATAATGACGTCATGTGAAAGAATTCGTTTTATGAACAAAAACAAATATCAGTGTCTGAGGATTGTTCTTTAGGAATTATGGGTGTTGAATAGATTCTGTCGATTGAATCCACGAAACTTATATCTGTTCGATAAATTATAAATTTATATGGATTTAAAGGGGATTTATAGGAATTTGGAAATTGTGCCTAATTTTTATTGGATTTCTATTTGGCATATGTGGCATATATTTAGGTTACGAATAGCTAGATAGTTTAGATAATTAATATTTGTCAAATATTTGAAATCATTTGAATAATATTTCAAATAGCATAGCTGAAAGAAGAAATGCAATAATGTATTGTTTAAAAATATATAGATTATGTTATTTCTTGTCATAAAAATAGTTCGCTACAATAATTGTAGTAATAGTTCACAATTAAAATATGAATAAACATTTGGAACAAACAATAAGACAATAAGTTATGGAATAACTTTTAGGATTGTAAGATTTTTAATAATTTTTCCATCACATGACTGAAATATAAGATCTCAATTTTCAATTTATTTTTCTTTTTTTAATTTATTATAATCAGTATCATATTGCATTCATTATTAAAAATTCTCGAATTAAATTGAATAATATGTAGAAGACTATAGAAGATACGTTACGATGAGATTTTAAATCGTTCCTATCCTGTAACTATTGTTATTATTGTTATGTAATACATTATTGCGCAAATCACGTAATAATAGATGAATATATTATAAGATACAGTTTCTTTTAATGTCATTTTATGGTATTTTATATCATTAGTATCAGGTTTTCAAATTTTTCTGCATTTTAAAATTCATTATATGAAAGATATATAAAAATTTATTGTAGAAATAAATCGTAGAAAAATAATAGATAGAGAAAAAAATACAAACATGATAAAAGTAACTGGAAAAAGGCTGTAGTTCTCGGTTTCACGAATTTTATTAAAAGGTTTTCAGCAAATGTATATATACTTTACAACTTGGACATTTCAATCACGCTCAAGCGCATGTTCCCACATAATTAAACAGAGTCTTTTAAAATTAACTAACAGCAAAAGATACTTCGGTAAATTAAATCACGTTTTACGAAAAATTTTATTTTATTTTATTTTATTTTATTTATTTATTTTTTTTTAAACTTAAAACTATACGGATTTCCTTTTCCTTTTGATATATTAAAAAATTTTCAGATTTATAATTTCTCTATTTGAAGAATAATCTTCTCTCAGATTATTACAATATCATCATTTCATTTTTATTATCTCTATAATATTATGAATAACGAAAATTATTATTACAAATAGGAATTAAAAATTATAATTTTATTTCTTTTATCGTTTTGAACGAACGAAAAAGCGAAAGTATAGTAAATGAATAGCGTGGATATCGAGTAAAAAGTGAAATTACATTCATCCATGCGGACATTCCAAAAATTCTAACCGGTTCTCGAAGTCGT